AGTTCGAATCCGGGCAACGGCATGGACCTGGGTTGCGGGCACATCCCCAGTGGGGGGCGTGCAGGAGGCAGCTGATCGATGTTTCTCTCTCTCATCGATGTTTCTGACTCTCTATCCCTCTCCCTTCCTCTCTGCAAAAAAATCAATAAAATATATATTTTTTTAAAAAAATATCGTTTCTTGTCTCTGCCCAGGTGGGCAGGGCACAGCCGCCCAGAACGTCTCCTGCCTCGTCTACCGGGCAGATTTCATGAACTGCACGTGGGCCCGGGGTCCGGCCGCCCCGGAAAACGTCCAGTACTTTCTGCACCTCCGAGACCTACAGTAAGTGACACGCTTCCATTTTCACAGAAAAATAGGGATTTTTGTTTTTAAATATATTTTATGAATTTTTTTACCGAGAGGAAAGGAGAGAGATAGAGAGTTAGAAACATCGATGAGAGAGAAACATCGATCGGCCGCCTCCTGCACGCCCCCCACTGGGGATGTGCCCACAACCCAGGTCCATGCCTTTGGCTGGACTCGAACCCGGGGCCCATCAGTCCACAGGCCGAGGCTCCAGGGCGAGTCCAGCCAGTTTCATTCAGTCCTAATCGGCTGGACTCCAGCAGGAAGCTAACCTACAGGTCGAAGCAGTCGCCCCCTGGTGGTCATTGGGCGTCATAATGACGGGTCGACTGTGTGCCCCCTGGTGGTCAGTGCCCATCATAGCAACTGATTAACCTGTCGACTGTCTGCCCCCTGGTGGTCAGTGCACGTCGTAGCAACTGATTAATCTGTCGACGGTCTGCTCCCTGGTGGTCAGTGCCCATCATAGCGACTGGTGGACTGTCTGACAGTCTGCCCCCTGGTGGTCAGTGCACGTCCTAGCAACTGATTAATCTGTTGACTGCCCTCTGGTGGTCAGTGCACATCATAGCGATGGATTAATCTGTCGACTGCCCCCTGGTGGTCAGTGCCCATCATAGCAACTGATTAACCTGTCGACTGTCTGCCCCCTGGTGGTCAGTGCACGTCGTAGCAACTGATTAATCTGTCGACGGTCTGCTCCCTGGTGGTCAGTGCCCATCATAGCGACTGGTGGACTGTCTGACAGTCTGCCCCCTGGTGGTCAGTGCACGTCCTAGCAACTGATTAATCTGTTGACTGCCCTCTGGTGGTCAGTGCACATCATAGCGATGGATTAATCTGTCGACTGCCCCCTGGTGGTCAGTGCCCATCATAGCAACTGATTAACCTGTCGACTGTCTGCCCCCTGGTGGTCAGTGCACGTCGTAGCAACTGATTAATCTGTCGACGGTCTGCTCCCTGGTGGTCAGTGCCCATCATAGCGACTGGTGGACTGTCTGACAGTCTGCCCCCTGGTGGTCAGTGCACGTCCTAGCAACTGATTAATCTGTTGACTGCCCTCTGGTGGTCAGTGCACATCATAGCGATGGATTAATCTGTCGACTGCCCCCTGGTGGTCAGTGCCCATCATAGCAACTGATTAACCTGTCGACTGTCTGCCCCCTGGTGGTCAGTGCACGTCGTAGCAACTGATTAATCTGTCGACGGTCTGCTCCCTGGTGGTCAGTGCCCATCATAGCGACTGGTGGACTGTCTGACAGTCTGCCCCCTGGTGGTCAGTGCACGTCCTAGCAACTGATTAATCTGTTGACTGCCCTCTGGTGGTCAGTGCACATCATAGCGATGGATTAATCTGTCGACTGCCCCCTGGTGGTCAGTGCCCATCATAGCAACTGATTAACCTGTCGACTGTCTGCCCCCTGGTGGTCAGTGCACGTCATAGCAACTGATTAATCTGCCGACTGTCTGCCCCCTGGTGGTCAGTGCACATCATAGCAACTGATTAATCTGTCGACTGCCCCCTGGTGGTCAGTGCCCATCATAGCAACTGATTAACCTGTCGACTGTCTGCCCCCTGGTGGTCAGTGCACGTCGTAGCAACTGATTAATCTGTCGACGGTCTGCTCCCTGGTGGTCAGTGCCCATCATAGCGACTGGTGGACTGTCTGACAGTCTGCCCCCTGGTGGTCAGTGCACGTCCTAGCAACTGATTAATCTGTTGACTGCCCTCTGGTGGTCAGTGCACATCATAGCTACTGGTCAGAGCGTCTGCCCCTGGTGATCATTGTGTGTCATAGCTACCGGTTGGACAGTTGCTTATGCTTTTATATAATGTTTTCAAGGGCCTTCCAGG